GTTACAGAATACATTTTGGGGCATGTATTCTGTATTCTGTAATGGAATACATTTTAAAAGTAACCTTCCCAACACTGCTGATAGCTAAGCTTTCCTTGTGGCCCATTACACAATCAAAACAATTATTAGCAGACAGAGTTCATCTCAAAACTAAAGATACTGACCAAAAGTTGTTCTACAGGCTGCAATTTAGCACTAATATAAAGTAATATATTTGCTATAATCAGTAACAAAATGTCTGCTGCCTTAACTCTGGAGCTATTGGAGAACATTAACATTAAGTGAAAGGTCATGTTGATGACCTCATGGGGGTATTCAACATGTTAAAATGTAAAATATGGGTTTAGACTTGAATCATTTGATTTTAAATATGAAACTAACAAATTCTTATTATTTCAATGACCTCTTGTGGCCACACTTGTATGTGTCACTGATCTATTTTCAGAGGAGGATGCTTCCACAGATAGATGGACTTTCCCTTTCTCCATGCACAGTCTTTGGTATTTTGATTTCCCAACTTCTGATACACTTAAATAGGGGTAAGTTTGAATTTACATGTGTAATATCTTTTTTTGCCGTGGCACTAATGTACAGATTTTTTTGTGCAGGGAGACTGTATAAAACAGTGAATACCAATTAGTACAAACATTTGGTGCAAACAGCAGTTTATAATTTGCAGCTTTGATTTGCTGGCTGCCTGCATGTGTTTAATTTTTTTCTGAAAGACTTTTTTAACATCTTCACCTAAAAAAGTTAGAAAGAAAAATAAGGCTCTATTCTGAGTGTCATCTTTAAGTTTGACATATATATTCACTCATCCTGCAGAAATTAATAAACTCATTTTCTGTATTTCTTTGTTTCCCCTCCTGTCTACAGCGGAGTCTCAGGTGGTTGGTCCACATCAACCAGTAGTTGCATTAGTTGATGATGATGTTATTTTACCATGTCACGTGGAGCCTGCAGAGGATGTGACAGCTCAGATATTGGAGTGGACAAGATCTGACTTGAACCCAAGATTTGTCCATGTGTGGCGATCCGGTCAGGATCTGGTGAATACAAGAAATCCTTCATACAGGGGAAGATCATCACTGTTCATCAATGAACTGAAGCGTGGAAACATTTCACTGAAACTCTCCAGAGTAAAACTCTCTGAATGCAGCCCTCCTTTAATGGAGAAAAATTATTTTGTCAAGCTTGTGGTTGGTAAGTAGATACACATCACATGTTCATGGTGTAGATCAATTATGCACCCACTATACAGGATTTTGATGGGATTGTAAGTGAGGAGCAAATGGTGAGATGCTCATATTTAGTTACAGTGAAAAATTATGTTTATGTTTATGAGAAAAGATTTCAACCCGGGAAATGTTTGTTTATTAACTTGACAGAACACACCAACCGCATCAGAATTTTGCAAAAATAATAATTTTGTACTAGTGAATTACTGTCCAAAATGTTTTTTTCCACCTACTAATATCTTTTATGCTTTTTCTTGCTCAGCATCAGATGCTGCCACCTCACTTCTAATCAGTTTCTCAGGGATTGACAAAAACAGAGGAGTGGTGTTACAGTGTGAGTCTGCAGGCTGGTATCCAGAGCCTGAGCTGCTGTGGTTGGACGGTGAGGGAAACCTCCTCTCTGCTGGACCTACAGAGACCCTCAGAGGTCCTGATGACCTCTATACTGTCAGCAGCAGAGTGACTGTGGAGAAGAGACACAGCAACAACATCACCTGCAGAGTCCAACAGAGGAACACCAACCAGAGCAGAGAGACACACATACATGTTCCAGGTTTAAATTATATTATTAAATTTATTTCACTATTTGTTTTGTATATTTGAATAACAGTTTTCTTGGAATTTAATTTGTTTATGAATTTCAGAGGATTTCTTTGATATCCCATCCAGTTCTCCCTCTGTCACCATCGGTTTGGCTGTTAGCTTGGCTCTATGCATCATGATGTTAATTTTGTCAGCTGTTCTTGCCCATAGAAAGAAGCAAAACACGACTAGTGAGTCACTGATTAATTATTCTTTACCTCTACAAATCATCAGTGTTTTCACTGAGCGGTTTAATATTTTAAGCCAAGTTTTGGCATCTCCTTCTCATTTAATTTTAACTTCAAAGAAGATGCTCAAGTTTCCTCTGAAGATGGTGAGAGAGAGCAACTCAATATGAAGGCAAGAGGAAAAACTCAGAAGCAGAATAAATTTGTGAGTAGATGAACATTATATGTTAAGTTTAAAGATCATCTTCATTGTTTTCCAGAGAAGAAATTAAATAGTAATCAAAATGTTACCTCATATTTCTGGACTTGGATGAAAAATGTTGATTCTTCTTTCAGCCTCTAATTCTAAAATTCCAGTGTTCATCTATAAGCTACATTACTCCTTTAAACAAACTCAAATATTTTACAATAAAACTTCCAGGAATAATACTCAACAGAAAATGTGTTATATTACTTTTGTATTCCTCCATAAGAAAAAAAAACCCAAATGCACCTTCAAATAATTACCATTTAACAATATAAACCTTAGGAGTGCAATCCAACAGACTGACACAAATCTACATCCTAGTGTTGGCTTCAGAGCTGGCAAAGTACAGACATTCTGTACTTAAGTAGATGTACAGATACTAGTGTTAAAAATACTCAATAAAAATACAATTTATTTACAAAAGGCAAAAAGTACAAGATCTGAAATGTAAGAAGGTGAAAATAGCTTTTGGATGAAATTTTTACCAACTATTTTTTTGCAGAGCTAACTTATAAGAATATGATAATAGGAGATGGGAATATAAAAAACTTCAAAACTTCAAAATATACCCAACTTGAATGACTAGGTAGAACATGAGCAGAAAGAAAAATTATATAAAAAATTGTATATCTCCATTTTCTGTTGCCTCCATTGTAGAGGACATTGCCTCTAAATAGAAAATAAGTAGGGAAGGGATTGAAGTGGATGTTACATTTTCGGCCAAGGAGTAAATTGAACACAACAAAAAAATGTGACCCCTCACTCATACACCACCGAAGAAAGAGCAAAAACTTTTCAAAATGCTATGCAGGCTTTTATTGACACCAGACACACAAATCAACTTATACTTACTCATATACCAGTTTGCTTCGAATGTCAAAGACAGGCTGTTTGTTGGGTGGTGGAGGCCAGGAGAGAAGGGGCCAGGTGGTCATCTGGTGGTTAAGTACTGATTGATCAACTTATTATTCATCCCGGAACAGGATTGAACTCAATCCATCCACTCAGCAGGCACTGGTCTCCATTAAAACACACACATGCCCACACCTGAGAGAGAGAAGAGGAAAAACCCACAGCCTCTTCCCACAACCAATGGGAGGATTCACACAAACACACACACACAAACACACACACGACCCACAAGATCTTGGTCATAACAGTGGAAATTAGCACATGAAGGAACCTGTTCGTGCCTCGGCATGGGGAAAAATAATCACAGCTCACAATAATTTCAACTGAGAGCTCCAGTAGATGTACAGGCTGTGATCAGCTGATCTGGGCTACTTCGGCTCTGAGGATTACTCTCAGAGTAACTCTTTGTAAACTAAATTCAACAAGACGAAGCAGATGTCTCACAAGCCTTCTTGACTGATTTCCACTGACAGTTTACTATTTATGCTTTCTTTATAATAGATGGTATAAGGTTGGCATGAAGGTGGAATTCAGTGAATAAATGAAAGCATCCTCAAATTCAACTCTGCTACATTTGATGTCATCTAACTCTGATCATGAGTACTTGAGCCACTGTGCATGAGTCAAACACTGTTCTTTAAGTGAAATCCATCACAGTACGACAAACCTAAACTGCAGAGCATTTTCACACAGACTTCACAAAGAATGGAACAAAGTCAGCATGCCTCAGTTTGTTTTACTGGACATTACACAATATTAAACAATAGCTTCACAACATATACAGATAAAACCTTTGTGTTACAAAGTATTGTGTTAGAGTCAACCCTGATTATAACTCGGGTAATTATATGGTATTTTTTTAATTCACCCAATTTTATTTGTTGTGCTTAGTGCTGATGTGGGACATTTTTTCCAATTTTGTTGGACTATTGCACTAAATAAGACTATGCAATGACATAAGATAAGACAACTCTTTATCCTAACTTATATTATCGCTCTTTGTCAACTTCTGTTTATTATTTTTATTATCAAATTGTTATCCCTGGTCCTTTCCAAGCTGTACCGTAAAGTACTACTGTTATGTTGTCCACATTACTAAGACTAACTGTGAAAGACTTGTTTGTAATCTCTGCCATCTCTCAGTGGAAGTTGCCAATAACTTCAAGGCGGAAGCTCCAGCAACAGAGGAGGGAGGATGCTGAAAATAAACTTGGCGAGCTGCAGAATGATAAAGAAAAGGTTCATATGTGTCATTTCTTGTGTGTGTGTGTGTGTGTGTGTGTGTGTGTGTGTGTGTGTGTGTGTGTGTGT